TAATTAAATAAAAAAGTATGTTTATTCTTTTGCCTTTAATTTATAATTCTTTATTCAATGTATCTTTATTTTATAATTCTTTATTCAGTATGTCTTTATTGTACATGTGTTTATTAAGGAAAAATAACAAAGGTGGGGTCATTCTTTTGCCTTTGGTTTATATTTCTTTATTCAATCTATCTTGATACTCGTTCATTGGATTAAGACTTTACCTTTTCATGTATTATTCTTTGTTCAATTTATCTTGATGTTCGCTCGTTAAATTAGGATTTTACTTTTACATGTTTGTATTTTATTTTGTGCAGTACTATTCTCTTATAAATCATCTCATATGTTTTCATCAATTTACTCTTATTTTTCAATCCCTATATAAAATTTCATGATGTCACGATCTTATATGTATTTCAAAATTCGGTGTGAAACTTTTATGCGCCGTAATTTTATTTGTCGAAATCGAATTGTAGTGTTTTGTAGTATCTATATTGATCTGAATTTTATATATAACTATTAGGAATTTCTAAAATTTTAAAACACTCGACTAATTTAAATTATAAATATATTTAAAGGTTAATAATTTTTTTGTGTGTTAAAATTAAATCATCTATTAATATTACTTAAAAACTAACAAAATTATATATCAATTAAAAAAGTTATTTTAATTATAAACAATAATGCAGTGGTCCAAGATTTTAACTATTAGTACTTAAAAATTTAAAACATAATTCACTAATTCAAATTATAATTTTATTTAAAAATTAATAACTTCTATATTTATTTTTACTTGACATATATAATATATGAAATTGATTATATTTTGACGAAACCAGTGCTTCCTTTGTTTGCTCCAATTGATGCATGTAAATAACACATATAAAATAAATAAATAAATAATTGTTTGTTTTTATAAAAAGACAAACAAGATTGAATGGGCCCCTTGCCCATTAAATTATCTATTAATACTAATTAAAATCCCCTCCCCTATATATTAATACAGAACGCGCTGAGCCTACGTGGCTGCTTCTGGTGCTTCGTAATCCTATGTGGCAAAATTACATGCTTCGTTATTAGGCTTGGGTAAATTTTAAT